ACGACTACCAGTACTTGTACCTTCTTTAACCAAAATTATAACAAACAAATGGAACTCCACGAAAGGAATGGCTATTCAGATTCTTCTCTGGCGACAAATGTGAACTTAAGATGAGATTTATTACGGTGCACGCAAATCTCAACTAATACGTAAACAGAATTTCGCGGTATTCTTGATACCCATTACCTTTTAATTCTAGGCCCACCAGAGGCCGAGCGGTAAAGTCGCTGAACACGGTAGTTCGGTCCGATGTTCAAATCCCGGCGAACGGGCTAGCTGCATTTGCGTTTTCGTGGTTGAGCCCATGTGCAACGTGTATACGAGCCTGTTTCCTTTCAAAAGTCCTCCACGATGGCATCTCTCTCCTTAGGCAAGTAGCCCTTGAGTGCTTTGCCGTTATTAAATAAACCAAACCAAACCTTTTAATTCTATGTTCATTAATCGATAAGATAAATCATATTAGTGATCTCTGGGTATAAATTCCTGCTTCATGTTTGTGCCGGTGAGCGACCAGAAATTATAAAATATAAATACCCTTCTCTAGTGTTGTTTTTAACTTAAAACTTTGCCTTGATCTTCTATTCCTATAATGCTTTATCTTTTCTGCATATTTAAAATTGATTCCACAAGTTAGTCTTCGAGAAGTTCATGTGAACCCAGTGACTATTGCGTTTGATTAGCTTCCCACCCTCCTGTTGTTGCATTCTTTTTATAATAATTATAGAATACTTTTTATAAAAAAGCATTTATGAGATGTAAGAAACCATTTAATACAATAAAAGTCGCAGAAACTTCATTCGCAAAGCAGTTATAGTAAGGTAACGAGTATTAAACACAACGGAATATTTTTTCATTGAATATTATACGAACAACAGTTCATAAATGCAGATTCACATACAAAGAGTCTAAGTATCTTCAGGTAATGAATTTCAAGACTTAAGAGATTACGTGAAACTGCAAATGATAAGCGAATGCCATATTATCGTGATATTAGCGTGACTTTATAATATAGATTAATTGATAAATTAAACACAGTAGCATTAACATTGTTAAATAAAATTATAATAAATTGTACTATACCTTACGATACGTACTGTGATTACCACTTAAAGTAATGCAAAATATGCTGATATTATTATACAGCCCACCAGCGGCCGAGCGGTGAAATCGCTGAACACTGGTAGTTCCGACCTGGGTTCGATTCCAGGCGAACGGGCTGGCTGAATGGGCGTTTTTTGATTCCCCATGTGCAGCGTGTATACAAGCTAGTTTCCCTTAGAAAGTCCCCCACGAAGACATCCTTCCTCTTAGGCAGGTGGCCTCAGTGTGCTTTGCCATAATCAACTAAACTAACCCAAACCAGCCGACCTGAGTTCGATTATAGGCAAGCGGGTTGGCAGCATGTCGTTTCCGCGTTTTTCCCCATGTGTTGCGTGTGTTCGAGCCAGTTTCCCTTAGAAAGTCCTTCACGAAAGCATCCCTTTCCTTAGGCAGATAGCCCAGATGTATTTTAATCAACTAAACCAAACATTGTTGTATACTCTTTTCCTCTCTTGTAAACTGTAGGTTAGAACTTTTAAACCAATCCTTTTGAAAATTAAGTTTTACTTAATATTTCGAGAGATTAATTGTTAGGCTAAAAAGCCAAAAACAGTTAAGAATATCAGATTCTGACATTTTAACCTAATGTTAGAATTTTTTCAGACATTAGGTTAAAATGTCAGAATCTGATAATCTGAATGTTAACCTAATGTCAGAATGTCAGAATTCTGACATTTTAACCTAATGTCAGAATTTTGTCAGAAACCTAGTGATTTTTTTTCCCTTCATACCTAGGAACTCTGAGAAAAAGAAAGATCGATTAAGCATGTCTAGTCATGAATAGACGCTGTCCGTTGAAATCGTATTTACGTCCATTCTGTAAAGTTAAGGAACAAAGCTATATACCTCTGACGGATGGCTTGGAATCTAAAAATTTCAAGTTCATTTTTCTAGGATTACTTTCAATGATCCCTCTTCTCCAATATTTCGTTGCAACCGTCCGAAACACAGTTACAGGTGATCATCATCCCGATTACTGTAAGAAGACATAATTGTGTGGTTATGAGTTGCTATATATCTTTACACTGCGATTTCTTCAGTTGGCTTATAGTTTCAAATTTAAAAGGCTTTTTTTCTTTACACTAGAGTACCGAATATCCGGATATGGGGGCGTGAAATCTATTCACTAAAATTTTATTTACCGGTAATCAATTTTTTAGTATCTGCTTAAGTGTGTGTCTTTATGAAAACAATTTATAGCCATGTACTACAATTTTCTATTTGTTTAGTTCATCAGTGTACTTCCTATCTGGCTTTAACAAGTTTCGAACGAATAAAAACATTTTTTGATTAAATGTCACCAAAGTGTCTGTTTTATCTTTCCGTCAGTGTTAAGATTTGATTGTTGTATGTAAAACTTCGGAATTAGTTTTCCTCTTCTTTATAAGATCAAATAGCTGGTACACTGTATGCACATGAACTTGCGTTGTAGCTCTTCAAAATCACCAGTCTATAAAACTAATTCAGAAATTTGGAATCTTGTACAGGAAAATTTATGGCATTAAGTAGCTAAAATTTTTTTCATGGGATGAAAATGAGAATATTTTAGGAATGCAATTATATTTTACATAGTTTTCTCTTTTTCTCTTAATTTTAACATGTTTTACGAAACAAAGATTAAAAAAAAAAAAAAAAAAAGCAATCTTATGAAAATTCTTGGAATTTTAGCGTTGTATAAACTAAAATCAAAATGAGATAGTAGTTAGGAAATAAAAGCCATTTTTAGAAGGGGTGGATGAATAAAGAATTCCCTTTGAGCTGAAGGGGAAAAAAACAACGTCTGAAATAATGGAGAAAAAGTGTTGAATTTGTAAACTTTTTCTTTTCTTAATTTACTTCCGTTTCTCAAATTATTCCCCAAAAGTGCATTATTCTTAAATGTTGACAATAATTTGTAATTTTTGTTAAGAAGAAAGACAGAAACTATGAAATATTAATATATTAAATGTTTCAACTAAATTCTTTAACTTTTGTTTCGAATAGTTTCACAGAAAGTTTATTCTCAGGAAGGTATTTTCTGAGCTCGTAGAAAAGCGGTTGACAACAAAGAACATCACAAAATGTGGAAAGAAAATTCAAAATTCATATATTTTGGTAGTAATTACTTTTGATGTTTAATTTAATGAATTTGAATGAAAATATCAAATGCCTAAAATACATTTCTTTAACAAAATTATAATTTTTTGTATTGTACTAAAATCTAATTTTTTTTGTATTATACTAAAATCCGCTTTTCAGCTAACATTTATAAAGTCACAAATAGAATAATGTTAATAGAACTACAAGTGTTAAAGTATCACTTCGTCTTTTGTATTTTTAATACGTAATAATGATGGAAGTCTCGTGGTTATTTAGAAGATACGAAATTAATCAAATGTATTTAAAATTCACTATAAATAAAGAGCAACATGCATTCCCTAAATGCTAGTAGCTATAATAATAAAATGTTTACAGCTAAGTACATTTTCACTAAACCTTTCTCTTATTATTTAAAAGCATAATTTTTAAACCGAACTCATTGCGCTGCCTTAGGACCCACGGAGCAATTTGCGATTTATTATTGCCTTACGTTTATACGCACTTTACTATTTATTAGTTTCATACACTTAAGTGCCTTTTACTGCCTTCAGAATGCATGTTCAAAGACCTTTTTCCGTCATAGCAAACTTTGAGCTCCCACATGCAGCTGTCTTTTATGTGCTTTTTCTATGATCACAACATAGAAAAGTACCTAGATGTTAGACATAAAACTGCTCAGGATAAGGGCAAATCAGTAGCAATATACTAGACACGACCGTCCATAAAAAATGGGGTAAAAAAGCATTTCAAGCTATGTTTGTGTTTTTGACTGAGTAATTGAAATGAACTTGCGCGAGATTCAAATTTTCTCGTCTCCTCTCTCTGAAATTTTGCCTTGATAATGTGAAACACAAATAACTACTAGAGCTTCACTTAATCTTACCTCGAAAACGTGAAGCTCTAAAAGTTATCTGAACTCTACGTTATCGACGTGAGATTTCAAACGTTTGCCAGGCAGATGTGCCAATACGACAAGGTTTTATTTGAGCTTATTGAAATGAGTTCTTTTAAGCACAAAGCTCATTTGATAGATAACTAGATTAAGTCTCTGAAATGACAGCAGAGCCCAATTTCATCTCCAGATATCCAGTCAAGAAAGCATATCAAGAAAGCTCTTTAGAGATGATTTGTGAATTAATTCGACTGTGGTTCACTAAACTCCGTCCCGGTAAGAGAATCGAACTTGGGTCTACCAGAACTGCCGGTTAAACGAGTGCTCTAACTATTAAGTTATTGAAGCCGTCCTCCTTCCTTAATTTCTTTTCATTCATATAAGGTTGGTATGCATTTTCCAGTCACCTTGTTCCGAATCGCCCCGCATGTATCAAACGTAGCTCATCAAACGTAGCTCAAATGGTAATAACTAATTATAGTTGAAAAATGTGCATGAGGGTTTCTGCTTCAGGTAATCTCTGGGTGACTCATACTAACGTTTCAACATATTTAGTTATGGTCATTGAATAGAAGGAATGAAACGTTCCCTGATCAGTACTGAGTTCATTGAGTCCAAAAACCATCATTATAGACGTCTGAGAATAATTCCATTGGTTCTTGTAACAATTACTTGGATAAAACTGTTTGTTTTACAAACTGGGGTATTTTTACCAAGAATGATTTTCTTCGTGATTATATGAAGGAGAGTAGTTCACCTTTCTCTTCATTTTTATAACCGGTTGCAATGGCACAAGATTATATACATTGTTCAGGGTACTTTACTACCACAATATGAGTTTTCATGTGATTGTGCATTATATTCATATGGGTTTTATTTTATCGCTTTCTCGTTAAATCTTTCTCAGAAGTTGTATGTTTCTTTCTAGTGCCTCAACGACCAGTCGTAATTTCCGAAACTTCACATAGCAGATCTGACACTCCTCCGCACCAGAATGCCCCCAGATTACGTTTCCAAGTCAATCCAACAGTTATTCCTTTATTAGATCAAGAGTTTCATCAATATCTGGCTCTCGAAGGACTAGATTTCAGGCAAGGTATCAGTATGCTTTTTCATTTAAAAACATAAGAATCTGTTTTATTAGTTTGATATTTTTGGATTTTTTTTGCTAATGTGTTCTTTTGTACAACATATCTTCAAAATTACTTGTACCTATTTGCTTCATTTTTGTGTTCTAATATACTCACGCAATGTTGCTGCAAATGTTTAAATGTTTTAAAACTGCTTTTTCTACCTTTTCTCACTCAGTACCATCATAACTAAATTAACGTTAATGTTAATTATGTGTGCCAAAGTGTTGAAACTAAATTTCTGAAAGAATTTAAAACTGAAAGAAAGTCACAAATACAGCTGTGTGATTTTACGAAAATTGTTTATCAGTTGTTACGAAGCGAATAACGATTCTAATGCGTAGTTCGACAGGCTAGTAATAACTTGACGATTCTTGTTTCGAACGCTAATTTTGTTTCGACGAATATGCATCAGTGGTAAATTTGATCTTGATTTGGATACAAAAAATTCATGACGATATCTTTCATTTATATTTAATGAAAACACCAAAATATATCACAGCAATACACATACATCGCAATGGCGAACTACAGTTACATAATGTAAAAAACAACAGAATTCCTTTGGCGCAACAGCGCCCTCTATACTATGAAAAGTTCCAACATCAGTAGCCCAAATAGATAACTAATTCGATGCATTTATGCTGCATAATTCGGTAAAAAATTAATTGGAGGTAATGAGGGAATTGTGTTTTTATTAGTCATGACCGAAAAATCTCAAAATTTCCTTTTTCCATCTTTTCACCCCTCCTCCTCCTCTAAGTTCACTTGCTTAAACTATCAGTTTATTTTTGCAATATTCTTTTACGTATAGTTACAGTAAAAAGTTAGTACAGTCTTTACTTGTATAGTCTTTACTTTACATGATACATTAGTACAGTCTTTTTTTCGTAGATAAATGTTTTTTGTTTGCGAAGTCACTGCTAATAAATATTGATTAATTATTCGTTGAAAATAATTTTTTTTCAAATGTTATGCCGCTAGTTTCTATTCTAAGCAAGTTTTATGTTCAAACAAGTGATCAGTAATTTCTGACCCAAAATTATGAATAGTCATCTAATAGAAAAACAATAGATTTATTATGCGCATGTAAAGCAATATTTAGATTATATTGTAATATTATGCGTTTTATCCCTATTTCACACGAATATTCCCTTTTTAGGCAATCACGTGTAATTTATAGTAGTATAACCTTTCTTTACAACTCTTTCTCATAAAGGTACAATTTCAAGATTTATATGAAGATCAGATTACATTATAGTGTACGGTTATTTTATTAAAATGTAATAGCATATTACGACAGGAAAATTAATGTTTTTATGTGATGAGTTTCCCTACTTGATAGTTAACGCAAATGCTCTCATGATTACTTGTCTTTGAGATACAATTACTTTTTTATTATTCAAATATTTCGTCTGCAGATGCAGTCCTAGTACCATGCTATAGACAGGACCGGAAACTGAACATACAAGTTTGAAAAGAAGCGTGTTTAAATTACAGCATATAATCAAAAGCGAGTAGAAAATTGTATATTTCAAAATAGTACTCTGTTGATAGTGAAGCAAATATTCTTAACTGTGAAGTAAATTTAAATCATAAAATACACAGTCCCTATTTGTATTCGAAAAGTTTTCAGTAATTTAAAAAGCCGTCGATTATTTTTTCCTTCCTTTTGAAGAAAACTAAATTCTGAACCAGCCAGTTGTCGGATTGTTTTAAATCTTACGATTGTTATGTCAATTTTTATAATTTATATTTAGTTACTTGTTACCTTATTTGTTACTGATTTGGTCTGTCTTTCTTGATACTTGACTGTTTATTTATTTATTTATTATGAGTGAAGAATAGTTAATATTACTCTTTATTGAGTGAAGAGTAATTAATATTATTTCACTCATAATAAATAAATAAATAAACAGCCAAGTATCAAGAAAGACAAAACAAATCAGTAACAAATAAGGTAACGTATTTCTTACCTTAGAAACATAAAAATATTTTCTATTAACTTAAACCAGTAATTGTATTTTGAAAATTATTACACGTAGTTCAACATTTTGAAAAGTTAATAAGTTTCCATGTATTCTTTACGTATGTTTTAAAACAAAGTCAAAACTGTTGTCTTAATTTATGCATCTGTAGCCTTTTAGATCCTTCTTACTTACCTGGTTCCACTTACCTGAAATATAAAAGTTGCCGCAGTATTGATGTAAATCATAATTTAATCAAATTGAGCTCAACGCTAAATTGGCTCTTTAATTTATAACTGTTATCAGGACTTGTATTCCTCTTTACTTGCTTTGGAAACATGAACTGTCCTGACTCAGAACAGGGAGCTTACCCAAGCTTTGTTCAATAAATTGTGAAGTAGACAATACACACAGGAAGGGTATACGAAACTCTTTATTTTTCTATCTTTACAGAGATTTCCGGAACTTCGGAATACAGAGACCAACCACTTGTGGTCTGAACGTAAGAATATAAAACTACTAACTAAAACTCTAACTAAAACTAACTTTGGATTAATATACAAGTGCCTAACTTTAAGATTGGCCGTTATTTAACAAAAAAAAATCCGATGTAGTACAGAGCTGCTAAAACTACGATACGTTTAAAATTATCAAGAGGATTAACCTCTGGCCTTGAAGGCAACCAGCAACCGAGTAAAACTACTATGGCAAGCGGGCCTGCTTCTAATAACTCCTTCCTCTCTCTCTGCTTGGCAAAAAGCCACAACTTAAGTACTTGGCGTTAGCAAGACAATTTGCATAAATGTTAAAGCTTTTAATTCTGGCCGGAAGTAGAAAATAAGAAGTGATAGTAAAGATTTAAAATAAAAAACGTTAGTAAAACTTAGGATCCTTACACTGTAAACTGTAATTTGGCAGTAAGAAACACATGAATGATCACAAAATTTTACCTTTTCAGGTATATTTTACAATTAAAAGAACAAATTAAATAAAATTTTTACATTTCGTAAAGTTTTTATTATTATTATTATTTTATTTTCTTCAATGGCCTTACGACAAGCTGCATATGGGCTGGAGCAGAAAATTAACATACAAGATCTGATCTCAAAAAAAACAAAAGTTGGACTAAGTCACCAGTCGATTGCGACCTGGTAACTTTCAAATTAAATTATTCAAGAACAACATTTTTTCTTCCAAAACAGCTTGTGTTCGAGGTACATTCGGTCCCGGATGTCGGTTCAATTGTGATGACTGCCAGAATGGAGGTACTTGCGATGTTCGAGCTCTTAGCTGCGCCTGCCAACCTGGTTTCACAGGACTACTCTGCAATGAGACGTGTCCCAAAGTAAGCAAACAATAAATTCTTGCCTGAAATTTAGTCTCTTTTATCTTTTAGAATTATTTAGCTGTTAAAATAAACGATTTCTTCTACAGAAAACTATCTTCCGTTTTTTAAAGAAAATATATTTTTAACATAGGAAAAATTGCACTGAAGTTTCAACCAAAAAAAAAACATTTAAACAAAAATCCCCCTTTCTCTCTTTAATTTTTGCAAATAATATTTGCATGATGCATTACCAATATATTTTAATTAATTGTTTTTCGCTTAAGTACAGTATTTGTGCATTTAGCATAAAGCATTTTCATATTTTCTTGGTTCAATGCAAAACACTGTAAGATTATTTTTGAGTATTCAGCACACATCTAAAAACAATTATAACAGTTTGTTGCTCTATTGTAGCGACAACTGGTATATTGAACGATAACTACGTATTAAAATTCTAAGTTTTTTACTGTTGCATTTGTAAGAATAATTTATTTCTGTTGTTTTCGAGTCCATATTACATGGAACAATGAAATACTCCGAAATGACATGGAACAATGAAATACTCCTACTCCGAAGAGAGGTTAGACTTCTATTTTCCACTCCCAGCTTTGAGGGAGAACACCTCAGGGGGGGAAGATCCGGGGATCTCCCACCCCTCTCCACTTCCAACAAACGACATGACAGGACTTTCGACTCGCCGCATATTTAGAGTGCCGCCATGCCGCACCGACACTATACAAACATCCATGTCTTCTCCCGGATTCGAACCTGGTCCCTAGGGTACTGTAGTAGGCTCTCCTAACCCCTGTACCGTCTGGGCGACAATTTGTTTCTTTACAAAGTAAGTATAAAATTCACATGAACATCACCTGAATGTTTTGCAAATATAGTAAAATATCAATTATGAATTTCTTTACGTGCATGTTTTTTACGGTTAAAAGTAAACTTTCAAATCTCCAGAAAGCTTCAAATGAAAATAAGGCTAAAATTATTTCTGTAAATGCTATTGAATTCAGCTTATGTTTCATTTATACGTATTTTTCCTGACTAGGAGAAAGGAAAAGAATTATTTTTCCCCTAGGTTAGCTGTTTTGCCTAAAATCATTCTGAACTTCTTCACACGTTTCTCGGAGTGTGAATGTATTAGAAAGAGAGTAATTTATTGTAAAAAATCTATATTTCTTAAGGTTTGTTAGTGTTTTAATACATATCTCATTTTTACGCGTAATTTTCAGTTGACCAAAACAAGTTTGGTTCGAGCTGCTTGATTTAAATTTTTTTGTCTATCAAATCAAACCTTCAGAAGGATGTGATACTCCCTCCCAGTCCATCAAGGATTAAGAAAAGGATCATTTATTTTCAAACTGTGTTGAAACTCGGAGTACACAGATTATTCCGATTTTCCAACATATTTTTATGTACATACTGATCATTCTTCGGCTCCCATTCGACTGTCTAGGAAAGCATTTCCCCCAAGCGAACGACCGTATGAGATCGCGTCTACTATTTGCTCAAAAAGCTTTTTCACCTTTTATCACTTTTATGTGACAGAAGCTCCCCGTTATAGATCTCCATAAACGTAAACCTCAAGTATGTCGTTTGCAGACTAAAATATACCAGGCAAAGGCAGGCTTTATCCTAAAAGATAAAATGGAGATTTTAAGGCAAGTGGATAACAACATCAAACATCGCAAAGGGTGGAGAACTGGAGATGCCGCTTTCCACATTCCCGACGCTTATTTACAGACACAAGAGTACTGAAAAAGATTCTCAATCCACTGAATCGTTTCGTAAATGGAAAAATTGTAAGATCTTTTAGCTATCATGCAAGGAAACAATCTTACTAAGCCAGGCGAGGCGTGAAGAAATAGCTCACACGCTCACAGATGCCCTTTTATTTGATTAACTCTTTACCAAAAATGTGCGTACCTAGTGCTCACAATAACACCGACTACTTGCGGTAGAAACTTGATAATAAATTAACAATAACTTAATGGCAAAGAGTTGTGCTGGACTACCTAAGACTAACAGGCTAAATCAGCAACATACATCGGCGATAGACTTTTACATAAGCGGCCAGAAGGCGTATCAGCAACTCAGAGTAACAGAAAGAAGAACAAAATAGCAACGTGTGCTATGATAACGAAATCACGCTCTAACTTTCTCTTTTCCCCCCGTTTAAATACTCTCCTTCACTTTAACTTAATTTGCATCTTGGCGAGGAAATGCGAAGCGAAATTGAGGAGTTCATGAAAGACAACAAAAAATTAGAATAATTGGTTATTCAAACTAAGGGTGTAGCTCATTAGCTCATACAGCAGAAAAAGAAACTGCAGGTAAGCTAAATGGAACAGATAATACATCATGTTTGATGTGACGGTCCCATAAATTTAAGGAGAAGCGTGACTTAAGGAAAGGGTTAAGTAGTTGACACAGCCAACGAGACGTTTCGTTCAATTCTCCTACCCCTTGTCACTCGCGAAGGAGTGTCATTTCTTCCAGTTGTGCCGCCCTTGTGCTCCTAATCTCGGCTCCACGTACCATATGATATCTACCCTTTCATCTATGTCTATATTTTCATTCCTTATCTCATTAATCTCTAATTCTTATGTATACCTTTAGAACTAGTTTATCTTGATATCTATAATTATTAATAAATTATTTTAACTGATTTTTGATTCATGACTGTTAAAACGGATTTCAGTTCATTACTGTTAGGGCACCGAAGAAATCAAATTTAAAATACGGAATTTTAAAAGAAAGATTAAAATTCTTAAAATAAATTATTAATTAATGAAATTTCGTTAGCGGATTACATCGATGTTGTAAATTACTACATTAATTTAGAAGCATTATTATTGAAATGCAACAAAGTTTATGTCAGTACATATAAATAAAGTCCATTGTATATTTTTTAGTTTCATTTCATGTCTTTGAATATAACATTTTTTATTTTACTTGATTTTTGTAATGTATTATAACTGAAAAATAACCCCAGGATAAATATTTTAACACATTTAACGTGTCAATTTTAATCTTAATTTTACATTTATTTACTTTTTATGTACAATTTTATTTATAAGCATTACTTAAAAAGCATCTGCTCCTTATCATGTTTAAATACGTGTCATAACATTATTTTTATAAATTAAACTTCCACAGGCATTAAAAATTAATGCTTATTTATAATGCTTATAATAAAACATCTATATGCAGTAATAAAAAGTCTTTTCCCTTTTTAATGTCGTATGTGATTAGTGCGGAATAACATTTCGTGAATGGGGTATTTTAGATATTTATTGTTAAAAAATGGACCACTTGAGTAGTATAATATGAATTTTTTTAATATCGCAACTGAGTCACTTATTGGTCATAAAAAAAGTTATTTTTCTAGACGAATACTTTGATTTTTGTTTAAAATTCTTAATAATGAATTAAGATGATAAGAATTTCTTTTCCTCTGTCTGAATTTAAAACAGTAATATTTCAAAAATGTTGCTTTGCAAAAGCCTGCAAATTTTTATAAAAAGTAATTTAAAAAACATAAATAACGTATCAAAGTGGGAGAAAGAACAATCATGAAGAGGTCGAATTATTCGTTACCTGTAAACGGAGAAGGGAATTTTTGCTTCACTTTTGGCTAAACAAAATGACGGTGATGGAAGAAATAGTGAATACAAAATCCACAAATGTGTGCTTAAGAGCAATTCTGTCATAGGAAACTGATGATCTATCACATTTAACAAATGAATACCAGTCAAAAGACGCTTAAAATGCAAATGTGATTGATAGAATTAAGGATAATTTTATAATTTACTCCCATACGAAACATTAAAGCGGAAACTAGCAGAGATTATTAAATAAAAATGCGTTATTATGTTGCCAAGATATGAAAAAAAAAAGTGTTCCATTATATGCCAATAGGTGTTGTTAAAAAAATTACCATTATTTGCTATTTGTGAATCTCAATAGCCCAGTTGTTTCAAAAAACGTCAACATTATTTTGCTCACCAAATACGCTAGAAACATAAATCATAAATGCAAAGACAATTATGCCTTCTTTCACGGTTTCGATAGAACAATTAGAGAAGGAAAATGGATGATGAATATGGCACATGATGCTACTTGTTAATAAGTATGCAACGCACAGTCCTGATACTGAAATCCTCCCAAATAATAATCATTTTGCTTTGTAAGAGTATAAGCGAGTTTCAGCCATTAGATTAAGGCATCGGATCAAGGGCAAAGGGAGATAACGAAGATCGGCATCTTATAAGCTACGGATATTAGAATTAGGATTTCTTTAGGAAAAAATTTTCTCTGAAATTATCGGCTTAAATTTCTCACTTGCAGTACTATATTTGGGACAGAGGGGCTGAATTTAATATCTGGCCTAGGATATCGATATCCTTTATTTATGCTCATTGTTGCTCATTGATACTAGATAAGTTTGCGAGCTTATAATTGATGAATGCTTAGAATGTGACTCACAGCTTTTGTTCATCATCATTATTAAGAACTGACGAAATATAATGATAGAAGAATTAGAGCAGTAGTGAAGAGGAAGAAAATAACATTTCACCTCTGATGCAATCCAGTGTTAGAAATGCACTTGCTGCTTTTAACACTGCAGAATCGTATTTAATTACAGGTAATTTGAACGAGGCCAAAGTAATGGCACTTAAAATATTGAACAATGAAATTTTAACATCGAGAAAAATCCCCTAAAACTAAGGACTATTAAGCAGTTTTCAAATTTGGAATTTTTCAAATTTGGAAGACTTGAATCTCTTAAGCATATTTTATGAATATTTTAGTCAAGATAATAGTCAAGATTTAGTCAAGATTTGTTTCACTAAGTCCAGGAATTAGTGTTCTAGAAAGTTTTTTAATTTTAAGAGAAATGAATAAAAACTTGCAGTCTTCTTTTGCGCTAAGTAGTTCTACTATTTATTGTTATACCTTTATGCAGAAATATTGTTTAATATAAATTTTCATTAGTTCAGTTAAAATAGTTT